GGTAATCCACTTGAACATTGCTGAAGTTTATGCTGATTCACTTGTTTGTACTCCGCTGCCCCACATTATATACCCCACTTATTACTGGTGACCAATTCTACTCTACTGAGCTTTATGAATCACGTCACTTTGATGATTTTGCATGTTGTTCTTATCAAAACCATGTTATACATGTTACCATGTTATACACAATGTACATGCTCGTGGAGATAAATTTTTAGTTTTGTTTCTGTTGTTGCACATAATAGAGTATGGTACAAACTATCAATTGAAGGTCCTGCGCAAGTTCATTATTTCTGCAAGCCGAGCTTCCGTAGGGTTTCACCGATAGTCCGGGAAAGGACTTGGTTGGAAGTTTCGCCTGAGAATTAGGGGATTTCCGCAATGCTTGAATGATATTTCCGAGGAAGTGATGATAAGGTTTCGCAGGTGACTTGGAGAAACTTCCGATGGAGCTTTGAGGAAGCTCTACTAGATTGTCTGAGGACGCAACACGATCCCAGCGCGTTTTGAGGGTAAATGAAGAGCGACCCGGCATGCGAAATTGTAACTACGTTAATCAGGCTTAAAAGCAAAAGATGGGATTTCGGAAAAAATTTTCCCAAATAGGAGGCATTCTGAGACACCTTAGGTTTTGGAATTGCTCGAAAGATAATTAGTTTGATTCCCTTATCTTTGAATAATAATAAGCTGTGAACTAAACGTCTCTGCGTTAGATGTTCTGTAAAAGCACCACAATTTTTTGATTTTTTTGCGAACTATAGAGCTTATAGGCAATATGTTTAGGATTAGCCGCACGCCTAACTCCTACAGTGAGATAAAGATAATTTTGTCACAAGATTTTCCAATATAATAAATAGTCAACTTGGTCATATTGATTTGGTTCTTCTACTCCAGAGATAAGATGGAGTCTTTGTTTTACATGCATATATACTTTTATATATGGATGGATCAATTAATAGCAAGTGGCTACTAATAAATGAAGGCGAACACCAATGGTTCATCTTCTTGCTTTGGTTTGACCTACTGCTTCATCGTTTCTTCTTAACACTCAATTTATATTTATTCCATCACTGATCCTGTTACTTCTCGAAGTTTGTTACATTTTTGATTGGCGGAAGTTCACAGGAAATGTCCAGCTCTTTTGGTTTAACTGTTGAATAGAGGAAAAGTTATTTTATTACTAAATCTTTACCGATAAAATTATGCTGCACATCTGCTCATACTCATGGCAAAAAAAGAAGGAGGTTATACCTTCACGTCAATATTGTCAGACGGTTCGCTTGCAGTAATGCGAAAGAGACGACTGCTCAAAAACTTGGCTCTTCTTTTCAAAGGCTGTAAACTAAGCTGAGTGAAAAAACAGCCTATGAGCAAACTTTCGGAAATATTGCAGATTTCATCTGATTTTGAAACCGGAGATGAGCTATGTGATGATTCGGTCCTTAAAAAATCCACGCGTAAACGCGCAGACAATTGCTGCGTTCTACTACAATTCTTTCCAAAGTTTTCAAACAGTTTTCGGAGGTTCTTCAATGTGATATTTTGAAAAACAAAAAAAATCAGTCTTTTTTTTACAAGGATGATTTATATTTGCCTAGAGAAATTATTTTTTGCAAAAATTGCCATGAAAACCCGAATCAAGAAGTTGGCGGCGACTGATGATATCTCTATGCTTTCGAGTACGACCGCGACTTAAGTTACTGTAGCTGTTGTTTTGCACATTGCGCTTTTACTTATTTACATATTTGTTCATAAAGATATAGCGCTCTACTGTATTTCAGTTTTCGCTCAATCCCTTGACAAGAAATTTAACCTTGCCTACTGAGATACTTAGATGGCCTGATGTCTTCACTTGCAGGCCACATCACTGTTTCCATCCGTTTCTATCTCTAGCGTCATCAAGATGTTCGCGAAGTCCAGGTCCATTACTCGTTACCAGCTGAAAATTCAGCTGGTCCATCCGTGCACCAACACGTCGGTACATCTCTCGAGCACGTTTTGCTTCGCGAGGGACCAAGAGTTCTTAGTGTCCATCTGTCCCATGTCCTTCTCATTATATGACCAGCCCACCAATGCTTTGA